ACGGTCTTTCCATGGTATCAAACTAAAATTTTCCGTGAAATACATTCAAAATGATAGTTCAGTACCTCCTACAGTTTTGGTCTGATTTCAATGTAACTTGGCACACAAGTAAGTTGAAGTACATGTACGAGGGTTGTTCGGAAGTTCGCGCCATAAAATTGATTAAAACCGCCTAAGATACACGAATGGATTTTTCAAAAAGTAAAAGTAAGTAAGTAAATTTTATTTAAAGTCGGCATTGTATACATACATAACAATAAACAAGCTCTGTAAGCTCTTAAACCGACTATCACAGTTAAAATATCACAGAAAGACGTTTACACATAAATTATCATGCAAAAACACATGTACATATATACACATACAAAAATTATGACAGATAAAATGAATTTTAAGAATTTAACAAATTTTAAGAATTTATAGTTTCTTTAGGATAAGTTTAAGAAAAAAAGACAACTTGAAAAGCAATATGAATGCATTAAGAGAAACAAAAATAAATATAACGTGAGTATTATAATATAAATAAATAAATAAAAGTCATATGATAGTACATGTAATAAAATTAAGTACTAAGTTTAATTCATATATTCATATAAAAATTACTAATTGTATTATATTAATAATATTAAAAATAATTAAATAAAAAAAAACCTGATAATTGAATAAATTTGAAAGTTAAGGAAATTTAAAATTCACACAGACATAGCCAAACCAAATTGAGAACGAAGGAAAGAATAAAAAATAAAAATAAATAATAATAATAATAATTTTAAAGTAATTTATGTTCCTCATCAATACACATCCTGCCTAGTGATTGGGTCAGTCCCTACCTACATAGGCAGGATATGCATATTGTGAGGTTAAAGGAAAAAAAGAATAATAAATGAAATAGGTGATATCATTAGAGAAAATGAAAGATTTAAAAAATAAATGAAAATTCAACTGTTTCTAAACATCGTCTCATCAGCTATGCAGCCCTACGCTGTGGTTTCTGCAGGAACTGCATTTGCATTTTTCCCCCGTCCATGTCTCTATGAAAGTTTTAAATTGGCTGAGGGTGGAAAGTTCCCTAGCATGATTTGGTAGAGAATTCCACAGCGCAGCAGCTGCATAGCTGAATGACTGTTTTCCATACCTAGTGGTTCTTGGCCTAGGTAATTTCAGGGTCTTTTGATATCTAAAATTGTATGTTGAATTTCGCTGTTGAACTAAATCTTGCAGGAACAGTGGGCATTGATTGTTTATAATTTTGAAAACTTCAAGGGCCATGGCTCTCATACGCCTGATTTTCAGTGAGGGGAGGTTTGATTTTTCTAGGAGCTGGTCATAACTGCTTGTGTAGTCATTATAATTGAATCTTAGTGCTCGCTCTTGAATTTTTTCTATTTTTTGGCAATTTTGTTCACTGCTAAAATGCCATACCAGAGGACAATAACTAAAGTTGGACATTATAAAGGAGTGATAGATGGTAAGTTTACCAAGTTTACAGAGATGTTTCCCAACACGTTTTAACACATTTAATTGTCGAGCTACTTTTTTACAAATATTTGATATATGAGAATTGAAGTTTAAGTTAAAATCAAAAGTAACACCAAGCAGTTTCACTTCATCCTCACAGGCTAGAGTTGTACCTTTCAAGTTTAAAGTAATGTTTTTATCATGCGTCTTTTTCCCCAGTGCTATTGCTTGAAATTTTTCTGGGTTTGCCTGCATTTTATTAGCTGAAAACCAATCGATGAGAGTGCCACTTTCCTTTTCAAGAGTAGTAATAACATTTTGTAAGATAGGATCAGATTTGGATAAGGTATTATCATCAGCATAATAAGACCATGGGTCTTAATTTTCAAAGTTTTAAAATTAGCATCATCTATTTTATTTATTTAATAAACTAAGTATAGTTAGTTTTATTTTTAAATAAATTGTTGATGTTTTTGAAAGAAATGGTATGTCCAGCGGCACAACCTCGAAGACTATGTTTTTCTACCTAAGTGTGACTGAGAAAAAAACTTTTTTATATGAGAATTTGTCATCCAAAAATTCCTTTAATTCACTTTAATATGTAATATGTAATATGACACAATTGTACCGCGTAAAATTTGCAATTTTTTTTACCCCATTCTGGTAGATTTTTTTTTAATTTTATCGTAAATTCTATATGAAATGTGCAAACAATTAAAGGGAGATAATGACATCAGACAAAGGAAAGAGTTTCTTATTTCTAATTAATTCATAGTTTCAAAACTGGCACAGATCTAGGGAATATTTAAATGGGCTACTGAAAAATAATAATTTTATGCATTCGGAGTACTTGTTTTTAATTTCCAAAAAAAGATTCGAGAGGCGAGAGATGTAAAAGTAAAATGTCTATTTTTAGTAAGAGTGTTCAAAGTTTGTCACGTCGAAAAGTGACGTTGATCATGTGTGATGTTGAAGTTAGACAAGCAGATAAGCTGTTTTAATCACTGGAGGATCTTTCACTATGTATAGATCTATTTACAATATTCAGCTGTTCATGACATTGTACAGTGGCTGGAACGTTATTGTTGACAACTTACACGAACGATCACGTTACACGCACGATTCCGCACGATTAAACCTGATACACGAACGATCTTTCACGTTCACGATTCTACACGTTACACGATCTTACACGATTGCTAACGCAAACGCACGATTCTTCACGCAAAATAGTTCAAATTATTTAGTAATCGATATTTCCAAAACGAAATACGGCTTTATATTGATTTTAGATTCAAAGAATTATCAATAAATATATTATATCGACTTTGAAAAAAAAAAAATGGGTATTTCTGGTACTAAATACATGTAAGATTTTTTTTTATTATTTTAGATAATAAATAATTATTTAGATAATTGTCCGATATGAGAAAACGGGTTTTTTGTTCTATCAGAAGATAGTAGTAGGTGGACTGTAAAATTTGATTGAATTGGATTTCATAATATGCAGAATGGGGAATACGATTGGGAAAAAATGGCAACATGGAATGACTTAACTTAAAAGTTATATCTATATGTTTTCATTACTTCAAAATGTTTATGAATCTCTAAAACATGAAAACCGACATTGCAAATTATTGTTTTACTTTAAAAATTAATTAAAAGTAAGCTACAGAGATAAACACTGTTAAACAAAACACATTCGCCGACTAAACATTTATGATAGCTTTGAAAAATATTTATTTATTTGTAAAAAAAAAAAAAAAAAAAAATTTGATTATTTGAAAAATTTGAAAAAAAATATCCTTCCACAATTGGCAGCAAATAAGAATGATCTTCAGAAAAATATACGGTATATCACAATAAGTCACGCTATTTTCTTTATCTATATTGCTTGTTTACAAGGAATAGTTATGTTCCGCATTCAATTATGTAAACTGCGCTTTATTTCTTCTTATTTGGATTAAAAATAAAATCTAAACGAAATACTTGTTTCACAGATAACATTCCGATAAAAACTTACAAAGCTTACACGTTTCTAAACGCACGTTCACGCACGATTAAAACCGCAAACGATTGAGTCTGTTACACGCACGATCTCGCACGTTACACGAACGATCACTCACGACACACGAACGATTCTACACGATTGGTTTGTCAACAATAACGTTCCAGCCACTGTACAATCAAGTAAACAAGACCGGTTTAAAATTTTAATTAGCTCCAAAGAAGCTGACCAAGATAACTGTATAAGGTAGAAAACGCGGACCTCTAGAAACAATGACGTCATAAAACTAATTAATGGTGACAAAGCCGGGGAATCGTACGATGTCTTTTTTTTAATTTTAGGATATAGATTTGATAAATATTCAAGGTATCTTGAGCGAAATTTTTCAACATTTCTTAAACTTTTGTTGTGTGATCTTCCTTAAAAATTTCGTAAACATAATATTATATGCTACGTAATATTAATCTTTCCAACAACACCCATAGACTGTTGTAAAGTTTCAAGTTCCAACTAATAGTTTTCTCTTCCTTTGTTATATTAAGTACAAACCAGTAGAGCTACAGTCTTGACAGAGACTTCTGGTTTTAAACTCAGTTTATCTTCAATGTTCTTTCAAACATCCTTACCTTTGTTTCTCGATTCAGGAAATAAAAGTGGATTGATAAGTTGGTGGAAACTTTTATTTTCCTAGAAATTTTACACAATTGAGATAGTTTGGGTGAAAAACAAGAGGCCCAAGGGCCACAACGATCACCTCATAAACTTTATACATGCTGTTCTTCAGCAGATATTCCCCTGTGGAATATAATGGCGGCCTCGCCCTACCCAGGGGAGTCATGATTTGAACAATTTAGAATGTACACAACCCAAGGATGCTTTTTTGTAAGTTTCAGCTTTCCTGGCCCGGTGGTTTTTGAGAAGGTTTTTAAAGATTTCTTCTCTATATTTTAATGTTAAACTTGGTTTCCCTATTGTGGCCCTCTCCCTATCCCTGGGGATCACGATTTGAACAAATTAGAACCCCCAGGATGCTTTCATGTAAGTTTCAACTTTCCTGACCCAGTATAATTCTTCAAGAAGAATTTTTTTATGACTCCACCCTATTTTCGTCTTTTCTTGATTATCTCCACTTGTCAGTGGGTTGGACCCTTCATTTAAAAATCCCCCTTTACCCAAGGATGCTCTGCACCAATTTGATTAAAATTAGCCCGATATGTTTCTTGAGAAGTTAAAAATGTGAAAGATTACAGACGAACGGACGGATGGATGGACGACAGACGACGGATGATCAGATAAGCTCACTTGGGCTTTCAACTCAGGTGAGCTAAAAATAAAAAGGGAAAATATAATTGAAATCACCACTTCCTGCTATTTTTAGAAGACAGATCGACAACTTTTTTAAGATGGCTTCATATGATTGCTATAGTGCATACTAACTTATCATTCCAAATCAGGGTCCTTTTCAGGAAACTAATTTAAGGTTTTAAACTAATTACAAGTTTAATGTTACATCAAACGAATCAGGTTGCTCCGGGATCGTGTTTATAAAATCTCATCTATACACGAATTGACTAGCATTTTCTTTTGGCCCTGTTGACAAAGTTCTTCAAAATAATATTCTCATTACGATGCAGAGTGACGGTGTGAAAAGAGATTCTGACGTAGAGTAGTGAGTATTAAGTCATAAGATATACAAATAAATACGTATATAAAGTATAAGATAACAGCTTTTGATGTTAAAATCTCTATATTACTATGATTAACAGCAGTGTCAAACGTTGGTCTCCAACAAAAGGAATGCTACATGAGGAGCTGCCAGAGGACCACATCCTCAAGGTCATCGTCAAGCTCTAACCGAGGTCAGTAACATGACCTGATATAGGTCAATGAAAGATCAAGAATGGGTAATGTGATTTTTAAAAATACACTTTAATCAGAAGAAACATCCTATCAATGCACCTTCTGTTTGATCCTGATAGATTTGATTTTCATAGACTAAAGAAACAGTATATCAGGAACCCAATATTCACATATATCAAGAACCCAATATTATCATATATCAGTAACACAATACTCACATATATCAGGAACCCAATACTCACATATTTTAGTAACCCAATACTCACATATATCAGTAACCCAATACTCACATATATCAGGAACCCAATACTCACATATATCAGGATCCCAATACTCACATATATCAGTAATCCAATACTAACATATATCAGTAACCCAATATTCACATACATGTATATCAGGAACCCAATACTCACATATATCAGGAACCCAATACTCACATATATCAGTAACCCAATACTCACATATATCAGGAACCCAATACTCACATATATCAGTTACCCAATACTCACATATATCAGTAACCCAATACTCACATATATCAGGAACCCAATACTCACATATTTCAGTAACCCAATACTCACATATATCAGGAACCCAATACTCACATATATCAGGAACCCAATACTCACATATATCAGGAACCCAATACTCACATATATCAGGAACCCAATACTCACATATATCAGGAACCCAATACTCACATATATAAGTAGTTCAATACTCACATATATCTGTAGCTCAGTACTCATATATATCAGTTGTCTTATGCTCACATATAACAGTAACCCAATAGTCACATATATTAGTAACCCATTACTCACATATATCAGTAGTTCAATGCTCACATATATCTGTAGCTCAGTACTCATATATATCAGTTGTCTTATACTCACATATAGCAGTAACCCAATACTCACAAAGATTAGTAACCCAATACTCACATTTATCCCGCTTCAGACAAATTTGTAGATTGCTTATTGGATAAAGGCTGAACACATGACGCCCTGAAATTTTACGTATTACGTCTCCATTGAGGCTTCGCCTCGCCCAATACGGATTTCCATTTCACACCCTGTATGAATCCATATTAGGTTACCAACTGACTGTGTAACTAATAATATCAGTAGTTCGATACTCACATATATCTGTAGCTAAGTACTCATATATATCAGTTGTCTTACACTCACATATAGCAGCAACCCAATACTCACATATATCTGTAGCTAAGTACTCATATATATCAGTTGTCTTACACTCACATATAGCAGTAACCCAATACTCACATATATCAGTAACCCTATACTCACATATATCAGTAGTTCAATACTCACATATATCTGAAGCTAAGTACTCATATATATGATTATCATTTGCCTTATACTCACATATAGCAGTAACCCAATACTCACATATGTCAATTTCCCAATCCTCACATATATCAGTATTTCTGTACTCTCACATATATCAGTAGCTCAATACTCACATATATCAGTAGCTCAGAACTCACATATATCAGTTGATCAATACTCACATATATCAGTAGCTCAATACATATATCAGTAGCTCAAAACTCACATATATATCAGTAGTTCAATACTCACATATCAGTAGCTCAATACTCACATACATCAGTAGCTCAATACATATATCAGTAGCTCAGAACTCACATATATATCAGTAGCTCAATGCTTACATATATATCAGTAGCTCAGAACTCACAGGTATCAGTACCTCAATACTCACATATATATCAGTAGCTCAATACTCACATATATGTAAATCTCAATACATATATCAGTACCTCAATACTCATATATATCAAAATCTCAATACATATATCATTGCCTTTATACTCACATATATCAAAATCTCAGTACATATATCAGTACCTCAATACTCACATATATCAAAATCCCAATACATATATCAGTAGACTAATATTCACATATACTAATGATGATCTGTACATAATTAGAGAGGGATTAGTTTTTCCATTAGGATTTTGTTTGCTCGTTTTTATATGGATTTTTTGGTTTGTTTTTTGTTTGTTTGTGTAATTGTTTTGAGTTTTGTTTGCAGGTGGTGGATCATTCTGCCATGAACAAAATGAATTCCTCCAATCTTGCCATTGTGTTTGGACCAAATCTGTTATGGCCAAAGGGACAAGCCTCTCTGTCCAGCATGGGATACCTCAATAATTTTGCTCGACTTCTTATTGACAACTACAGTGAACTGTTTGACAGATAGCAGGTCATGACCTTTAGCTGGTACTCTGATAAACTGGTTCCTGCCTACACACTGACACAATACAATTGTCCTCTGGTAACCAGTTCTTGTAAAAATTTTGGCGCCAAGAAGTCATTTTCAGTTTGAATATTTAGAAAAATTACACCTTTCTTACGAGGACTACTACCTAGGAGGCAGCTAAGTGTTTTAATCAGTTCTGTAATCGTTTCAATCTTTTTCGTTCTTTGTGTAAATTATAGTATGTGTCCTCATTAGGTTTATATCAAATAAATAATGTCTGCAGAATTAGGTCATTTATTTGAACTAGTCAAGAGGGGGATTTAGAACAATACATGCACATGTACTTTGTAAACAGTGAGTGTGGAGACATAAAATAACAGATTTCTTTGAGTACAGTTCATAATGTGTCTTGCTAAAAATTGAACTTTGCTTTCAACTAAAATGTTTCTTTGAAGAAATGACTCATTGAATGTTTTGTTATGCATATTTATAATTATTATATGATTCCATATTGTTATGTTTGATATCTGTGTATACATGGTATATACAATTAGTGTTATTTATAACTGGGATGTACATAGAGGTGTGTAGTATGTAGTAGTTCTTCCAGGAGCAGGTCTAAGTAGGGATAGAAAAATCCACAACAAGTTTTATATGAATGAAATACTCCAGTCTGACAATTATTACATATAAAAGAATGAGTGTTTAGTTTTCATTCACAGTCCTTTCTGAAAAAATTACCGTGCTGTTGATCAGCCTCAAAGGTACACGCCTATGAAAATGGCAGATATTGTCTTGATGATATAAACTTTGAATTGTTCATTAACTCCTTACACTGATTTGTATATGATGTAATTTAAAAAATTCTGAAAAGCTGAAACTTATGTGGAAGCATCCTGGCGTAATGTAGATTCTAAATTGTTCAAATCATGACCCCCGGCGGTTGGGCGGGGCCACAACGGGGAATCAAAATTTTACATAGAAATATATAGGAAAAATCTTTAAAAATTTTCTTCTCAAGAACCAATGCGCCAGAAAAGCTGAAACTTATATGAAAGCATCCTTGGGTAGTGTAGATTATAAATTGAAATCATGACCCCTGGCGGTTTGGCGGGGCCACAATGAGTCAAAGTTTTACATAGAAATATAAAGGAACAAGAGGCCCACGGGCCTTATAGGTCACCTGAGTATTGTGTAACAACTTTCAAACAATGAACTTTGGTTCGTGTTTTAATCCAGAGGCCATGAAATTTACAATTCACAATTTTGAAAGAGGCACCATTGCTTAACATAACTATACACTTAGCATGCTTACTCAATATACTTAATACCCAGAGGTAGTTGAGTGTAACAAAGAGAAAATGCCCTTCCACTTTATAACCAGTTTTGCACATCACTCCAAAGGAACCACTGACCCTGGGGCCACATATTTTAAAATTTTGCAAATTCTATCATAAATTGGTTGATTAATACCAAAAAGCAGATTCCAAAGCAATAATTTATTCTTAGACTATGTAAACCGCCCCCACCGATCCAAAGGGGGGGGGGGATAAAAAATAACCAATTTGCTAGATTTACCTTTCTTCATCATAGATATATATACTGACACACAAAAGAAACGCAACAAGCAGTAATCTACAAATGTTTGATTGTTTGATCTTATGATTTTCAAAAATGAATACAGTAAGGCTAAACTCACTTTTTAGAACATCAAAGATTTAATAAAAATGTTAAATGTTTATCTTTTTACTTTACTAAGTAACACATGACTGTTAAATCACCCCCCTCCCAGCCATTCAAGTAAAACGTGCAAGACTGCCCTAAAAACAATTGCAGCTAAATTTATACGATACATTAGGTTCATCAATATCGAGATCTGAGCGAAGGAAATATTCTTTGCCGTTCTTAAAAGCCCTTTTTTCAGATGATTAGGTCGAATTTTCTCTAACTTAGAGCAGTGTAGCTTCCCCTGGATGTAACACAATGACCGTATAAACTATAAGTTTAATTGATATATTAATTTGTACAGTACATTTATATATGTTTTAATATTGTGTAATGAATTATAATTGATACTATCAGTGTGTAACGCGACGGACAATAATATCTTAATTACGAACTTGTTTACAAACTCTGGGAGATAGAATACAATAACAGAGCGTCTTCATTTGACGGACAATTAGTTTTTACGATGTGTTGTTCTCGAGCATTGACACTTCCAACCACACTTTGTGCAGAGCTGCAGCCATCTCATTAACTGAAGAATGTGCAAGTGCATAATGTTAATGTAAAAAGAGGACATTGCCGTATCCTATAAGGAGATAGGAGACAGAGCTACATTGAAGGGCGGACAAAATTAATATTAATGAAGTGACACTCTAACTAACTAATTGCTATTACCAAATATGTGAACCCTATGATGCAGCTTCTTGTACAAAAGATGCGCGCACAGCTTTTACCATCCTAGCTCCGAGATGAACTATAAGAGCTTTTTATCATCCTAGCTCCGAGACGGACCAAGAGAGATTTTAACATCTTAGCTCCGAGACGGGCCATGAGAGCTTTTACGATCTTAGCTCTGGGACTTATGTGACGTAATGACTATGTGAGCTTTCACCATCTTAGCTCCGAGCTCTTTGTAATTGAACTTTTCAAGTAGCATTGTTTGTTTGATACCTTTGATGTGACTTTACAATAAAACTATAAACTTACAAAAGTCTGCTTAATCCAAACACATTGGCTAATTGTGTTATATGGACTTCAGGTACAAGGACTGTCCTTAATGAATATGATGCGTAAGACCCTTTTGAGACGTATTGTTGTGAATGTTTGCATTAGCAACTCTCCATCACCTTTACATTGAAATTTTTCAGCTAGAGCAATGGAAATGCGTACTTAAGCCATTTTCAAGAAGCCTTAGCATCGTTACGGGAAACGAAAAGAGAGTTTATTTTTTGAAATATTGCTGCATTACTTATGATGAACACTTAAAACCCTTAAAACTCCATAATATTGCCAAATGTTTTGTTAAACATGCAATTTTTTATTTTTGTTAAGCAGACTCCAACTTGACTTCCGGTTATGGTATGAAAATCGTTCAACCGTTAAATTACCGGTGTTTACAAAAGTGAAGATTCCATAATTTTAAGATACAAATTTTTTTACTTTACATAATTATTTACCCCTAAAGTAGGATGTTGCGTTTCTTTTGCGTGTCAGTATATATACTTGGATCATTGGCATAAAACCCAGGAGCAAAGGAAAAGATTTTCCAAGAATTAATGTATTTTCACTATATAATCGATTGAGCCCCGCACTAACACCCAAACCCCTGTCCCTGGGGCCATAAAATTCAAAATTTTAAAAGAGGCACTCCTACTCATCATAACTATGTGCTTAGTTAGTTTATTTTTACAAAGAAGCAGAGAAGAAGATTTTAAAGGAATAAATGCATTTTCACTATATAATCGAAAGAGCCCCATCCTAACACCAGAACCCCCCACCCTGGGGTCCTAAAATTCACAATTTTTGAAGAGGCACTCTTGCTTGTCATAACTTTTGTTTAGTTAGTTTATTTAATACCAAGAAGCAGAGAAGAAAATAAAAAAAATCACAATTTTGAAAGAGGCACTCTTGCTCATCATAACTATGTACATTCATGCCACCAGTTTGCCTGTTTGATGTCCAGGAGTACAGAAGAAGATTTTTTAAGATTGCAACGGGGGGCAGGGAGCATGAAATTCACAATTTATGTTCCCTTTTACTCATAGGTGCTGTATATTAAATTTAGTTGAAAATGGTTCAGTGGTTTCAGAGAGGATTAATTTGAAATGTTCAAATGTTAACACACACTGGATGACGGATGATGGATGACGGACGACGACGGACGAAAACGGATAGCAATAGGTCACATGAGTTACTCAGGTGACCTAAAAATCTTCTTCTCAAGAACCACTGGGCCAGAAAAGCTGAAACTTATGTGAAACATCCTGGGGTAGAGTAAATTCTAAATTGTTCAAATCATGCCCCCCCCCCCGGGGGGGGGGTAGAATGGGCCACAATAAGGAATCCAAGTATTATCTAGAAATATATAGGAAAAATCTTTAAAAATATTCTTCTCAATACCCACTGGGCCAGAAAAGCTGAAACTTATGTGGAAGCATCCTTGGGTAGTGTAGATTTCAAATTGTCTTAATTATGATCAGTGGGATAGGGTGGGGTCACAATATGTATTACAAGGGGGAAATCTGGTAAAAAACAGAATGCTCAAAGCTTCTCAGGTGACTGATGTGGTCCATGGGGCTCTTGTTTTAATCTGGCAGAAACGTATCCGTCGTCCGTCTGTCTGTCTAGGTGTCTCTCCGGCTGTCTGGCTGTAAACACTTTTTCAAAATGCTACTTCTCCTACAGTTTTGGTTTGATTTTAATAAATGATAGCTATAGTGCATACTTACTTATTATTCAAAATCAGGGTCCTTTTCAGGATATAGCATACATGATTATTAAACTTGTTGCACTAAAGTTATCAGATGTTTGTGAATTCAGAAAACTGCAAAACAGGATACATGTTCATACTTAAACTAATTACAGGTTCAATGTTTCATCAAACAAATCATGTTGCTCCGGGATCGAGCTTATAAAATAGCAGCTGTACACGAATTCACTAGCATTTTCTTTTGGCCCTGTTGAAAGAGTTCTTCAAAATAATATTCTCATTACGATGCAGAGTGACGATGTGAAAAGAGATTCCGACGTAGAGTAGTGAGTATTAAGTCATAAGATATACAAATAAATACGTATATAAAGCATAACAGCTTTTGATGTTAAAATCTCTATATTACTTTGATTAGCAGCGGTCACAGGCGTTGGTTTCATTCAAGCTACACGGGATCGGCGCTTCAAGGAGGGTACGAGGCAGACGGCAAACCACTATATGTCGTCGCCGCCTACATTATGGCCACGTTTACACCTGGAAAATACGGCCATCATCTTAGTGGAGCCTGTATTCCGTATGGTGGTGAAGAAAGGGTTTGTGAAGACTTCTACGTTCTGACCACTCACAATAGTCCATGGATATATAGCTGGGAGCACGCCTCCAACGGAAACGTCCCCCACAACGCTGTAAGGGCGGATGAGGGGAAGGACAGTTATGGTGAAGGGCTGTACATTGGTCGTGTCCATCATGAGGGGAGTCTTATTCCGTGTAAAGTTCATAGATCGCACAAATGTGCTTTCTTTGGTTATCATTGGAAAGAATACAAAGCCAAGGAGTATGAGGTGCTCGTCTGCACATTGAAGTCTGGTCAGGCAGGGGAAGGGGAGGAGGGGGAGGGGCAGAAAGAGGTCAAGGAATAGTCGGAATTCAGGACGGGAGGGGCAGAAAGAGGCCAAGGAATAGTCGGAGTAAAGCGGAAAAGGACAGCATAGATTGTTCACTATATAATGAAAATTTAACAGAAACATAATGTAAATTTTTAAAGCTAGCATATTAAATGAAACATAATGGAATTTTTTCTAGTTAAGATAGTTATCAAAGTTAAATTATTTATGGATTACTCCCTGTGAAAAATATTGATAATTTACTTCATCTTGTTAATTACCTCTCGAATCACGTAATGTTTTAAAGCAGCAACAGCTTGCTCTGTATGTATTTTTGTTTGTACAGTTTTATTACTTTAATACTTTTTTTCTACAATATTGTATATCTTTCAAACCTCTCTGTAGACTTCTGGAAATAAAATAATGTTTTAGTCCGTTGTCTAACGAACCTGGATAACAGTAAAAAAAACAAGATGTGTTCGTGAAACACTGATGCCCCCGTATGGCAACATAACGGAGATTAAAAGATTAAACTGTTCTCAAATGCAAATTATATATACTAGTATGTTGGTACCCAAAGAAAGGCCTTCTCACAAGTAATACAATCGTAAAATATGAAAGCCCTAGCACCACCTGTTCAAAAGTTATGGCCAAGGTTAAAGTTTTTAAAAAGTTGGCCAATATCCAAGGTCAAGGCCAACCAAATATTTAAAGTATCAAAGATTTAGTCCCTTAAGTTCAAAAGTTATGGCCAGGGTTAAAGTTTTTAATCGAGTACGTAAATCTCCAAGGTCAAGGACAACAGGTCAAGTTGTTGGTATCTAATGAAAGGTTATGAAGAATACATATGTGAAGAATGAAGTCCTAGTATCTACGGTTCAAATGTTATGGTCAAGGTAAAATTTTGGAATATTTGTGTAAAAGTGTGTCAAACTCCAAGATCAAGATCAAAAGGTCAAATTTTGTGGTATCCAAAGAAAGGATTTGTTACAAGGAATAATCATGTGAAATATTAAAGTCAAAGCTCCACTTAACCAAAAGCTGTGGCCAAGTTTATTTTTTAGCGGACGTATACAGACAGCTAGACTCCTAAACGGACGGTGTCGCATAATATTTGGTCCGCCTCGTTTAAAGGTCCGACCGGACCAAATACGACAAGTTTAGCTTTTAAAAAAAGCTTAGAGAGTCAGCCAGAGGATTTTTCTTCTCTGTGATAATGTTTTAAAGAATCATAGAGAACTGAAAAAAATGCCTTCAACAAATTTTTAATCAGTAACAGAGTTGGGCACAAAAATTAAAACATCGTCTTAATATTTTTTCTGCATAGGAACAGAAGCGTTTGTGCATGCAGATTCTTGCATTTTTTGTCTCAAAATCAAAAGAACGGAAAGTATGTAGAAACATTTAAGTTCCAATTCACGTAACATAATTCAAAGAAGTTATAAACTTACATTTTTTGTCTCAAAATCAAAAGAACGGAAAGTATGTAGAAACATTTAAGTTCCAATTCACGTAACATAATTCAAAGAAGTTATAAACTTACAATCTCATTATCAGATCTATAAGATTTTAGGGGGAGGGGGATATATGGACATTATGCCATTTTTAACAAAACGGAGCCCAATAAGCTTCACTATCATCCTTGTTTGAGTTTATCATGCCGCCGGTTGAATCACTCTTGGCTTGGTGTTTAGAAAAGGGAAACACCCTTGTCCCTGCGATACTTAAACAGCCATACTGAACCTTCGTTTGAGAATATACAAATAAAGGATTATTGAAATACCCAGTACATTTTCTAGTACATTTTAGAATTAAAAAAAAAAACATTTATTATTCATTCAAACAGGTAACATGTAAGCTTTGACCGTATAGCCTAAGCTTTTTTTTAGTTTATTAACTATCGTCATTTGACTTACTAGTAACTAGCTGAATTTTGGCTTAAAATTATTTTCATAAAAAGTAGAATTGAAATAAAGCAAACATTACTAACACCTACAAATTCATTTATCAGACCTGTTATAATATAATAAACCTATGAATTCATAAATATGATTGCCACAACCTAGATTATCAAGTCGTCGTTTATGAAAAACAAGCCAATTTACGGATAAAAACGCATGCGCAGATCGGGGGGGGGGGGGGGGGTTCAAGGGCGGGGCCATAGGGAGTTATGGTTAATGACATTTAATTACAAAAACTCAAAACCTTCTAGAGATATTGACTTGAAATGAAAGTTTTACACAGAGTCACACAGAAGTATGAATTTATGACACTGACGTTTGAACCTCAAAATACACAGGGGTATTCCTTACGCCATATATATGGCCATAGGGAGTTGTGGTATAAAATTTCATTGCAAAAGCTCAATGGCTTATAGAGATATCGCGCGAAAACAAGTGTTTAAACAGACAGAATTTCTGAATTTAATACCTTGACCTTTAACCTCAAAATCAAGAGGGTCTTATAAGGTGTAAACAGTTGTGTAAAATTTCACTGCAAAAGCTCATGCAAAGACTTCACGCAATCTATTCACTGTCGGGTATCCGCGCCGGTTGTGACATGTTTGGATGCAGTGAAAATGGCGGAGTCAATCAACCGCTTCGACTCATCGAAAGGATTTAGTCTTATTAAATGGAATCTGTAGTATGTAATTTTACAACTAAGAGACAGCCTGTGTTTAAAAGTAATTATTTATCCTGTAGCTCTGCCATTAATCCACGAATTTAATGCAAAGAAACTCTTCCGATGGTGACATGCTATAGAACAACGTAACATGTTTGGATGCCAGTGTTTACAAAATTGTGTACGGTTTGGATGAAGTTCTGATACGGTTTGGATGAGATTCTTTGATATAAATCATACTTAACATTATGGTATAAAAAGACAATTTTAACACTTTTAAAGGAAAGGGCGGGGTTTCCAGATAAATTGTTTTAAAACTTACCTAGAAACATCTTTAAGGAAGAAATAAAGGTAACAAATCAGGACTTCATAAACCATATTTCGAAAAAAAGGGGGGGGGGGTCACAAACAAATACTATAAAATGATAACTTGACTGTATTGCAACCTCGCAAAAAATAGAGTAGGTTTACAGGCCTTTCAATGAACAAGTTCCACAGCAAGAGGCTAATTATGATTTATATTTGGGGGAAATGGTGTAAGAAGCCGACCCCCCCCCTTTTTTAGCCCTTAGTCAATATTGTATACTGATTCCTGTGGGATTTTTTTCATTTCATTCTCATATTACATAATCGGACATATTCGGTTTATATGTACAATACATACTATTCTCTGAATATATTGATTCATGAAATATTTTACAATAAAATTAATCAGTATTATAGTTATACTGTATAATGCAAAATAAAAGTTTATAACGAGTACCAATCCTGGCATATTGGTGTTGGAAGCAAAAAAAAAGGGGGGGGTTGGCTAATTGATGGACCAAAAAAGAATTGAAATTTTTCAATCCCGAAAATCCTATTTCTTGTGTGTATGTGGGGGAGGGGGGTAATTTCTTTCTCTACCATTTTTTAAACACAATATACTGCTTACCCTTTTTTGATTATATGCCTGTTGAAAGGGGGGGGGGTGGTGGTGGTGGTAACCAACGCCCCAATGTTAATTGCATGTCTATTTAATGATAACCCCCCCCCCCCCCGGATTCAATGCGTATGTAATATAGAGTTCTTTTCTTATTATTCTCATACTTAGAATATAAATTTACATTTGAAAGTGAGGGAGAATATAACATATGTAATCAATGTTGCAAGCTTATTACAAGTTTAAAATCTCTGCAAAGTGGGTCCGGCTTTACACGATCAGTCGCTCATGACAGCTGTGAACACATGTCCTATACTCGGCACTCAGGGTCATTGAACAGTGACGGATCTTTTTCGTGCCAGCACGTACTGCGACACGGGGCCTCGCCTTATATTATCTTATCCGAAGGACCGTTCTCTCCCACAGTTGGATTCAAACCCGCGACGTACATGTAAGGATTGACTCCTTACTTCGCGACTGAGAGCAGAGGCTCTAGTATAACCAGTGCGCCTCGCGGGCGATGCAAGAGCATCAACGAAAGTTGGAAACGTGGGATAATCTGCCTTATAAATGGGACGGGACTGTTGACGGGATATGCATTATTCGATTTTTTTTTCATTTTATTTAACACATTTTACATTTGTTTTATGTTATCAGACATGTAGTATCGTTTTTTAAGAAAAAAAGGGGATGTGATCGAAATCTTTCCTTTAAATCGTGTGGAGAAAAAGGGATTCAACATTTTTATATGAAATCAACTGTAAAAACAATGTATGAAGAAGGGAAAAGTGACTTCTTATGTGCCTGTGAAATTTTTTTTTAATTGATACTAATATCATGTTATTATAAACGCCATTTCCTTCATGTAAGGGTGTATTAAAAATGCAAACTGGTTCGAACAGCTCTATTGGATTGAGAAATTTGAAACTATAGACCGTCCAAACCGTAACATATAGACGTTGAATTTGCATCCAAACCAGAACACTCCCATCATCCAAACCGTATTATATTTTTTATGGATACATAAAATAAAACGGTTTTTAAATACATTTCTTGTATGGGACATAAAATACACTTTTGATATCTTAATTGTAAAATGATTTTTCTTTCTTTTGGCTGCTTCAGATTTTAAATATATTTGATATTATTTTAACAATCACGAATTAAAACTTGCTAAAGGGGTATGAATGTCAAGTGCATCGATAAAAAAGTGCATCAACGAGTTATTTAATGAACTCCATAAACAGAATTGAAACACATCATTAAAGTTAACCAGATACCTATAGAATTTCAATAAAAAATTGAGAAAAAAATTAATATTTACCAAAATATAGACATGGAAAAGGTACACAGCATTCCCCGTTTGTACATTTTACGCCATTTTCACCGCATCCAAACATGTCACAACCGGCGCGGATACCCGACAGTGATATTGCGGGGAAGTGAAAGTGTTACAGACAGACAGAACTATAGATGGACGGACAGACAGACT